TTTAGTCCATACACAAAAATTTTTTAACCCCATTCCATTCAGGTATTTATGTTATCTAATTTGGTGTTTAAATCTGGTTTGGTACCATTTGATTCTCCGGTTCCAGGTAACTTGTGCAAACCTTACTTTGTGTATTATCATATAGATGAAATAGTTTGTGTGTCCTTCTAATAAGAAAGAAGAACTTGATCTAATTTTGAAACCCTCTTTTTGATTTAGTGATATGGTTTAACGAATCAGATTTTTGGGATTAATGATGGATAGAATCGGGGTTAAATCAAACTATTTTATTGCAATTTCTGATAATTGAAGGAAAAACATATTTAATTGCAAATGTAAAATTAAGAAGAATTAAATAGTTCTATACTATTTAGGGATTAAAGTTTTTGATGATGTAACAACTAAGTAAGTTCAAGACTGCCTCCGTGTATTGAGGAGATTATGTGATATAAGACTCGGAATCACTCCTTGTTCTTAAGATCACACGGTTGTCAAAGACAACAAGCTTTGGCGGAAGTGGGCGATGATAGAAATGGATAGTGAAAGGAGATTAACTCGCTCAATCAAATGGACGAAGCTGCTTGTTGAATCACACAACAAACTGATCCGCACGAACAAGAGAGACTAGTGACTCGCTCACAAGACTCAAATGCACAAGAAACTCAAAGAGACTCGTCTTTGAAAAGAAACAATACGTTTATTAAAATTCGATGATTAAGGGTGTCTTTTTACAATGGTCTGAGCTGAGCTTATATACGACTCTTTCCCAACGTTCTAATAGCCTAAACTAAGTAATAAAATCGCAGAATTAAAAGAAAAACTAGTTGTTGGGCTTTTAATGTGAAATCTGGCCAAATAAGGTAAGTTATGATGTTCCTTGAGTCTTGAGAGTTTAGGCGTGAATATATGATGTCTTGGGACGTCTTGATTCCCTAAAAATGTGCTCAGATGTCTGCAGAAGTGAAGATATAGCCGTTGGAGATTTATAACACCAAGTGTGATCATATTGAATGCGCTTGGGTCTGTATAAGGTAAGTCATTCCATTTGCAGCAGCAATTGATCCTCCGCGTTTTGATAGAGCTATGACATCTTGTAGAGCTTCTAGTTGATGTAGAAGGTCTCCTAGTCTCCAAAGATATGTTTGCAATCTCCCAAACTCGGAAGGTTCCAAATAAGGCAAACTGAGAAATGGCTAGTTTAGAAAATCAATAAGTTTAATTTCTAAACCGATATTGGCCTCAAACCAATTATCCTTTCTCCTTATATCTCTGATGGCTCAAGAATCTGGAACAATTCGGTTTATGGCTTAATTCTTCTTGGTTTGGTCGAAATCCTTTTTCAACGCGCATATGTCCGAATCAGGTCAGTCCAGAATCACTCGACTTATAAACTGAATATCTCCTTCGTCGGAACTCCAATTCATATGATTCAACTTTGAGGTGATTCTTTGATGCGTTAAGTTTCTGGAACATGTTTCATTACTTATATCCTTCTGGTGCGTTTTGTAGGTTCCTTGGAATGAGCCTATATCCTTGCTGTCTTTTAATCGGTTTGAGATGTCACCTTGTTGGATCAATGGTTCAGCTACTGGTTCGATGACCTCATAATTATGAGCCAAAGGTTCGTAACTTTATAAAACAAAAAAAATTCAAATCAACGATATGGTTGCACACCCAAACCACCTATTTGCCGAGCTATTTTCAGTTACAAACCACTAAACTGGAGCAAAAAATCATTATTATTATACAGACGCCTTGGATAATCTTCACAAAAGATAAATATTTCATCAAGAAGAAAGAAACTGAAGAAATATTTCACAAAAGATCCAACTTACTTCCATATAACTACATTCACATTTTCCCAAAAGCAGTTACAAATAAATATGTCACGACTTACAATCTGTCTGAACAGAGGGAGTTTAACGGATAGCACCGGTCATATTAGCCCCACCAAGGTTTGCCCCTTCCAAATGCTGCAACATAAACATATCGCAAGGATTAACCGCTTAAGCTCTACTAAGAAATTTGAAGAAGTAAAAAAGGATGCAAGCAATAATTCCGCCCATGTATGTTTTAAAATACTTTATTATTGTTTTTGGACGTACCGCTTCTCGCAGATTCACATGCCTCAAGTAAGCTCGTTGAAGGTTTGCTCCTTTGAGGTTGGCATTACTCAACTTCGCACCCTATACCAGATACATGTATGACCCAGTTAAACAGCGGTAAACACTCGTTAAAGAGCCACATATCACCTATTTGTCTCATTTTAACTCATTGAGAAGGTTAGCAAAAGGAGATATAGGGCGAAATGTCGACAACAGAATTGCTTACCTTCAAATTGGCACCTTCTAGATTTGCCCCTTCTAAGTTAGCATTTGTAAGGTCTGCATTCTGAAAGGTAAGAAAAAGAATCAGAGATTATTACTGAGTCAAGCTTTGCTCAAAAGAACCTTCTGGATACATGGGATTGAAAAATGGAACCCCGGAGGAAATCTAATTGACACAGGCAACTAAAAACCTGATTCATGGTGAAAAAGTCTAAGCTAAATTTCTACACAGAGCACTTAAGGCACCTGCAAGTGTGCAGTGCGGAGATCTGCGCCACAGAAGCTACAATCCACTAAGCAGGCATCTACAGTACAAAAGTCAGAACTTTAGTCAAATTCTGTTTCAGGTAAAAATTAATTTCAGGGCAGTTTGAAAGATCATTAACGAGCAAGATTAGGTTTATATGCACCTTGCAAATTTGCACTTTGAAGATTTGTACCGGCTAACAAGGCTCCTCTAAGATTTGCACCGGTAAACTCACACCTTTCAGAGGAAGGATAAGAATTTAAATCTTACAAGAAGTGTTAACAAGTACAAATGATATATATGTGATGGGATCTGACAAATTCCTTACTCGCGCAAAATTGCATTGTGAAAGATAGAGCCCTTGGCATCAGTATCCTGATTAAACATTTAGTAATTCAGGAGATATGATTAAGAAGATTTTCAAGCAAACTCTCGTGATATACTGATAAATTCTTCTCGCAGAGCAGAAAGATAGTCAACACAACATATTTACCCGAAATTTGGCACACTGAAGATTTGTACGAGAGAAAAATACATTCCTGAGACAAGCATAGCTGAAATCCACAAGGGATAGATCCTGCATTATTCCAAGAGAAACGTTCAGGCAGTAAATAAGGAATAGTTATTTTCTAGACACTGACTAAGACAGCAAATGTGTATTCCAAATGATAATAGCATTTAAATATGCGCTAGGACACATAACTGCAAATTCCTTTGACATTAAAACAACAAGACTCAGGTAATGGTATACGTCCATTAATTATCCTCTGAAACAACTGATTCTGGTCACCAGAACTGCAGTGAGTTGAAGTCAGGCTATTAGCATCTGAGGTTAAGAAATATTACCAGTTTAGAAAGATCAATTCCAGAAAGATTGACCCCTCGGAACCTGACTCTTTCGGATTGTATACATTTGATGATATCTACACGCGTTAGTTCAGCTTCTACTTCACCAACGTCTCTTCTCGAATCTTTTATTCTTTCTTTCAGCTCCTGAAATAGGAAAGAGAATGGAAGTGTTTTACCTCACCAGCAAACGATAGTCTTGTACTCGAAAAGGTAAAAGCTGAAGAATGACAAAAACATGAGAAGAGTACGATAAAAGAAAAGTTGGCTTACTAGAAGCTGATAGTAGTCTGCTTCACGCAAAATTTCAGAACAATAAGGATCTGACAGATTGGGAACAATGCCATCACGCAACCAATTTAAAATGTGTCGGAAGTGCTTTCCATCTCTGTCTATGAATACATATCCCTGCAAAAATAAAATCAAGTAGATATACTACTGATATTACAAGTGCACATATGCATTACTCATATATATATGTGCATATACGTTTATATGAATGAATCAAGAAACCAATTGAATTTTGTGTTTGAAAATGGGTAGCTAAAATCACAGTTTTGGTTCTGAATTGGAATTGAAGTAAGATAATACCGTTTTGGACTCCTGGCACATAGCATGTCGACCACTGAACATTGCTGCAAGCATCGAGTCTGGGTCACGGTTAGTCAAAGTATCAATGGTAGTACAAAATTTCTTTCCACCTGCATGAACAAGAGCATTTCGGAAATCTTTTTAAGAGCGGAGCCTTTGTGTGTACATAAATATCTAAGAGGAGAAAACAACACAGTTCACTCTTAATTATGAATATGATCAACCCCCAATAAACATTGAAATGGAACAAAGGAAACCTAATCCCCAATTACACCATACGTTAGGAACTGGATCCCAATTCCGACACGAAAGATTAGGCTCCGCAATTCGTCTTCCAATCCAAACAATCCAATCGCTCATCATTTGTCCACTAAACCTCAAATCTCGACGAAATCGGAGATCTCAGCAGTCTAAATTGAAGTAATGAGTAATCGGATAGGAAAAGAAATTGAAAATATTTACCAATGTTAAGTCGAACCATGGAAGACAAGTCAGATGTCGTCCCCATGAGAGAGAGACAGAGCCTAGCACTAGCAGCAGTGCTTCCGAACAAGTCCTCAACTTCTAAAAACTCGATATCATTTTAACACAGTGGTTGAATGTGTTGGCCAAAATACGTTCTTTAAAAAAATTACGGTGACATTTTGAAAAAAATAAATATGTAAATATTATTCTGCCAAAAAAATGATGTATTTGATGTATTTTAAAACAATGTGACATATCTTTAGAAATTTAATGACATGGTTTAATTTTTTAATCAACCGTTTAGTACATATTTTATCACAATGCAATTATTTTTATAAATTTTTAAATTATAATTTTTTTTAAAAGCTAATATCTTTTATTTTATAAAAAATTTAACAACCGTTTACATATATTAAATTTAGTATCTAATTTTCAATCATTTAGAATATTCATTCATATATCAAATTAAGTCATATTTTTATTTGATAAATTTCACTTTTCAAAAATATCACTCTTTCAAAATCATTTATTCAATATATCATTTATGTTTGGGTTAACTATATTATATTAAGGTTTAAGACTTGTTTGGGATCAAAATCTTTTTGAGAAATTTCAAAAAATGCCACTTTTCAAGTGCCACTTTACAAAAATGCCACACTTTTGAAATCTTTACAAAAATGCCACTTTTTCAAAATTATTTTTTCTTTATATTATTTATGTTTGGGTTAATTATGTTCTATTAGGGTTTAGTTTTGAGTGTTTAGGAGGTTTTAGGTGTCAAAACATTTTTTAGAGTTTAGAATTTTAAGATATAGACTTTATAAATATATAATTAGT